AGGTCTATGAGCTGAAGGCAATACTTGGATAGTCGCGGATACCCCCCAAGCTGTCAACCAACACGCAGGTGCGGTCACGGAACCACAATCTGGCCTACTTGCAGTGGACGCAGACGAAGAACGTCGCGTGCTGGAGGTGGTGAAGAAGAGGGCAGGAGTGTACAAAGACAAGGGTTCACACCAGGAGTTTGCCGAAGTTGTTCTAATCACCGCTGCGAACTACGCATATTTTTCCATTTATAACAACTGGCGCTGCAACGCTGAAAAGCATGGTTTGGATTGGGCCGTCATAGCCAATGACGAGAAAGCATTTGAAGAGCTGGGGCCTGACCAGGGCATGCTGGCCATCGGAGAGAAAGTGAGTGGAATGAATGGCTGGGGTAGTGCAAAGCTAGACAGTGTTGGGAGGAACAAAATGTTCATGGTGCTGACCATCATGAGGATTTCTGGCTTTGGGGTCGTGTTCACTGATGCTGACAACATGTTTCGTGGTGATCCCTTTGCACAAGGTGTGCATTTGGGAGACTTGATCCGGAGCGGCAAGTATGACTACATCTACCAAGAGGAGCTGTCGAAAGCTCCTGACAAAGGTCATGTTGTACCCGGCGACGGTGGCAACACAGGCTTCTTCTATGCGACGCCGCGCAACAACAAGAAGATGATCTCCTTGTTTGCTGACGTTGTGGCGGAGGTTGACCGCCAGCGAGAGGATGCTTTCCGACGCTATGGAGAGCGATTGGGTGCAGATCAACCCATCTTCTGGCAGGTCATGCAGAAGCTGCGGAGTACAGGCCTGCTGTATCTTGCTCTCTTGTTTCGGAGCAGCTAACATGCTTGAGATTTAGATGCTGAAGATGTAGAATATTAATCACAGCTTGTAGCGATTTTTCTTTTCAGGCGGAAAAGTTGGGCCGGGCAACTTCAAATGCGTCCAGCTCTGTGGCAATAGAGCCACGTGTGATGCATCAGAAGAAGACACCATGAAGCTGGGGCACTCAGATTGTGTCGTTTTTCTTGGACTGAGAGTAACTGGATCCTTCGAAGGTACTGCTCCATGGATCCCTTTATGCATCCCACAGGGTGGGAAACTCCTCCAGAGGAGAGTGCTCGGTCAATATAGAATGCAAATCGTGTTTAGCCATGGTCAATTATTGGGCATTCGCAGTGTACACAGTGCATGCAGCCGATATGCAGCATACAAATTGGGCAGTGTACGGATTCGGATGCCGATTTGCTTTTCAGTGAGGAGCGAGTGACGTACCATGCCAACTATGCTGCCAATGAGGAAAAGATTGGCAAGTTGAAAAAGGCCACAAGAAGTCTGTAGTCCTTGATTCCAAGCGCAAGCGGAGCTGTATGTATATATGTGATGTGAACACATCCACAGAAATGAACAAGTCTACCACAGGTCAGACATGAACTGATACCGGGTTCTTCAAAAATAACAGCCACCAAGTAAAGGGCTATAAGAATTCTTCAGTCCCCCTGACTACCCTGTTTCAATGTTGCGGATGGGGCTTCTGATATTATGTGCTGACATGTGTAGTTAAGTTTCCCTAAGAATCTGCTGGTAGGATCTGGTAGGAACCAAATGATTAGTATATTAGTGCGAGCGCTATCCTGCGTCCATACTAGTAGCTTACTTGTAGGTACTAGCTACCTCTCCCTTACTTGTATAATTAAGTAGGCGCCTACTTAATTAAGTAGGGAGGGGGGGAGCGGGCCCCAAAAAAGGTAAGACAAAAGTAATTGTTTCTTCCCCAACTGTCAGGTGAGGGTTGTTAGATTTTATGTCAGCTCCTTTCCTCCACCCCCGCCTCCACCTCCGCCTCGTCCGCCTCCTCACCTCAACCGCTAGTTCCGCGAGTTGGTTGTCAGTTTTCCCCGCCGGACCTCGCTTGGCAGTGTTCCCGGCCGGACCTCAACCGCGAGCTTCGGCTGGCAGTGTTGACCTCAACCGCCAGCTCCAGATCACAGTGGGCACTGCCTGACCTCAACCGCCAGCTCCCGATTGCAGTGGGCGCCGGACCTCAACGGCCAGCTTCAGATCGCAGTGGGCACCGCCGGAAATCGCCAGATAGAATAGAATGTTAGAAGTTATGCCAGGTAGAGTGTCAGAATTTATTCCAGATAGAATGTCAGAAACTTATGCCAGATAGAATGTCGGAATGTACGCCAGATAGACTGCCAGAATGTGCCAGAGTATTTGCAAGAGTGTGTGCCAGATAGAGAGCTGCAAGCAGTTATGGTAGATAGAATGCCAGCAACTTTGCCAGATAGAACTCAGAGCATATGCCAGATAGAACGTTTGATTTTAGATGATTTTAAGCCAGATAGACTGCCAGAATATCTTTGATGGCAGAACAAATGTTGGAAGACGTGTCAGAACACATACCAGGACTGAAGTTGGTCCATATGTCACAGCACATGTCAGACAGGGAAAATGTCAAAACACACGCCGACAAAGATGTCAGAACACAGTCCAGAACGTTCCCTAGCCTTTGTGATAGATGATGTGTCAGAGCACAAACCAGAGTTCCTGCCAGAACAAAGGTCAGAACATCGTGTCAACCCACACAAATCGCCTGTCAGGGTGGAGATCACTCGAAGTAATGTATTTTTTGAAGGCTGGCTGTGGGGTAAAGATACTCGAATTAAAGACAACGAAGTTGGGGGTAAAGGGGTTGGAACGGTTTTCCATGGAACAGCTCTTGCTGTGGTTGCTAAATGTGTGAGCTGGATATACTTGGTCTCCGATTTTCGAAAAATCGAAAAGTGCACGAAAAGGCAACGATAATAAAAAGAGTCGCCCGCCAAAAGGTTCCGGGGCCTGCTGGGTCCTTTTGGCGGGCGTCTCTTTTTTGAAGGCGTTCCTGCTCGAGGCTGACTCACTTTGACACGGCTGGAGATGTCTGGAAAACAGCAACCTATACCTGACCTATATCTGTAGGAACAAAAGCAACGTTTGGATCAATTCTGCTAGACTTTTGTTGAGGGGCACGGCATGTGACTGGTGTCCAAAAATCTCGAAAAGTATCGAAAAGTCTAGAAAAGTCAGAAGGTCTGGAAAAATCGAAAAGTCTCGCTGCGTGCTTTCGTTTCCTTTACTTTTTTGTTTTTTTGACTTTTCTAATTTTTTTGCGTTTTGCTTGGTGTCTTGCAAACAGATCGTCGCTAAAGGATTTCGTGAGCTTATGCAAGCTTAGCCTAGCTCTTGCGATGCTTGTTTTTTACTTTTAAGCCCGGTATGACCAGAAGAAGAGAGCTTTCACCATTTTGCAGCAATTTCATGGGGGCTTCCACGTCTTGTGTTGCAGGCGGGTGTTTGGGACGCATGGTCTTCGAAAACCAACCTGTGCAAAGATCGTGGGTCCTCTGACGCCACCCGAAGCACGAATGCCGAGGGCACACAGGTGGGGTGTACCAAGCTTGCTAAACGAGAAGCGGGTCGCCTCCAATGTTGGGTGAAAGGAGGTTGAGGAAGCGTGGACCGTAGGCGGTCGTAGTTATGTCAACTCAAGCGATTGCTGGAAGATACGATAAACGTTGGATGCAGTGGTCGACAGATGTAGGTCCCTGCCACAGTCGTGACTGATGCTGGCCCTGCATCAAAAGAGATGGAACCCGTGCTGCTCGCTTAGATTCTCTTTGATTTTCTAGTGTCGTGCAGAGCACCAGCAGAGAATTGAGTAGCATATTGCATCCTGGCCTATTCTGTAGATGTGGGAAAGTGCAGAAATTGAATACTTTTACCACTTTCGTAAGTTTTAGTACTTTTTGTATGACCCTCTAATGGGAAAAGCTCCAAGGCTGCGTTGCCTCCGACAGACAACCCCCAACTTGAAGACATTGATCTACCCAACCGATGCAGAAACGCACTTCGAGGAGCTTCGACAGGCCGAGTTGCAGTTGTCAAACTAAATAGGTACACTGGCTGTGTTGAATTACCTCGATCTCATCTTTCAAGAATTGGTGGAGTTTAAATAAAGGGCTTTACACGTTGGCCTGGAAAAGTTTAAGTATTCCCCCTTTCAATTTGAATTGTTTGGCTATGGCTGTTACAGTGATGAAAACTCCTTTTGCTGAACCCCTTCAGTGCTGATAGCAAGGTGCTCAGTCCATGGTTTGATTACGCTGCAAAGAAGTTCATGGCTGACATGAAGAATCCATACCATTGTCCCTTGGGTTGATTTTTGCAGAGAGCAGGGACGCAAGGCAATTCAAGATTAACTGGGCAGAGTGTCTTGAGCCCTAGTGCCACGCTAGTAGTAACAGGTGCCACGCTAGTAGTAACAAGTGCATCGCTAGTAGTAACAAGTGCATCGCTTGTAGTAACAAGTGCATACTGAAATCATCCAAGTGATTTCCGATTTCCAGACACCAAGGTGGAGAAGGCTATTGCGGCCCGTGGATCGAAAACCGCTGGATTAAACGCTTCCTTGGAGGCCGGAGACAAAATGTTCCAAAGAGACTTTGGTACCAATGGGTATATCAAGAGATGACATCAAAGGAGAGATTGAGCTTTCATGTTCAAGGCTTGAGATCTTCGAAAATCCAAAACAGTTTCGGATCTGAACGCATGTTACTTAGTCTTAAGCCTCAGAGTGCCTTGTCTTAAGGCTGGGAGAATCGCAGCTCCCAAGTTCGCTTAGCCGACATCTTTGGGCTCCTGGGATTGCATAGTACAGATACCACGGCTGTCCATGCTGTGAACAGTTGACTGATGGTTTTGGTTTGAGCCTCAAAGCAGCTGAGCATCAGTATTCAGCCTCTTTGCCAAACACGCTCTTGGACTGAAACCAATGGGAGACCTGGTTGCAACTAGTAGACTGCTGAGAAGACAACAACTGAGGCCCTTCATTCCCATCTTCATGACCTATGTCGATTTGTGGGTTGCCAATGTTTTCGAATATGTGGCCTGGCAAAGCCTCAGGGCGAACCGCGAGGTTGGTGTGCACTGTTTTGTGCACAAGAAGGTCAATACAGAGGTATTTGACTTTAGGCAATAACTCCAGTGACAAGGAATCCTTGGTTGGATTGACGAACAATCTGCAACCTGAACTTTCTTAGCACGCTAGCATGGAAAGAACTAAGGAAAACATGATTGCTGCATTGCGACAGGCTCTAAGGCAAGGGCACATGTTGGGACACAGGACCGACCGCAGAAAGGTCTCGTCAAGATCATCAAGCTTGCGAACGAACAAATCACTAGGCTTTCAGTAGGTGACTGTGAAGAACATGACCGAACATGTCACTCAATGTGATGCAGATGACCATGCCCCCTGCCAATCCCAGTATGTCACATGTGAAGTCAGAGCTAATGTTGACTGTGAAGACGACCCCACTTTCACAAGCAGTTTCTGAGGCAAGGTTCCTAAGCGTTGCGACATTTCGATGATTGCGAGGCCCAATGTTGCCTACATCACGGTTGTGCAGCATGATACCGGCCTGGTGTCAAGCCGAGAGCCGTAGCTGCACTTTGTTCCAGTGCTAGGATGCGGCAAAACCGGATTTTTCCGGGGAGTGGAGTGGTATCCTTCTTTCCTTGTGACATGCATGTCAAATTATTCTTTATGGCTTCGCCATGCCTTGCCCAAATTTGGAAAAGGAGAAAATCATCAAGATCATGAAGGAGATTCCAAACGTTTCAACCTTATGCTGGAAGGGCAGCTCATAGATGCTCATAGAAGGGTGACTGCAAGGTGTTCAAAATCTGAATTCAGGTCCTTGTGTTAAGCGCTGGTGGATATGGGCACGTGCCTATCCCGCTCTTCAAGCAACCCGAGGAGAGACTTACCTCTTGCCTGACATTCACAAGCTTTGCTGATGTTCGTGCTGTGTGCTGAACCTGCGGAAATGCCACAAATGGGACGGCTAAGTGTTTTGCAGGATTTGCTGGGGAAGCGCTTTTTCAAGGAGATGAGTCAGCGAAGCCTGCTGACATCCTACATGGGCAGCTGCCCCAGGTGGTGCCGCACGCTATGAGTTGAGTTGCACATGGACGTGCTGAGGCTCCGACCACAATGCACCGCAGGAGCGTGTTTGAAGACTCGAAGACTTCCCCCCCAAAAAGGCTATTTGGCAGTTATGAAGCAAAAGCTTCTTGCTACTAGTAGCGATGCCAGGAGCCCCTAGTAGCGCCCTTGCTCCTAGTAGTAAGGCCAGGAGCCCCTAGTAGCTTCTAGCCAAACAAAGATAAGGCAGGTCTTTTTCACGTCAGGAGATGAGAAAGAAAATGATCAAGGTGGTCAATGATGAGGCCAAGACGCTTGGAGTCAAGGTACGGAGCCTGATCTCCCTGCGTTCCTGTGTTTAGCGCTTGTGTTTCTTCGTCATGGTCACCCCGGGCAATCACCTTCTAGGTTCATACTGGCTTCGGCAGTGCAGACGAGTGGCACAAGGTGGCAGGCAATTCCAAGGCAGGCTTGGCTTCATAGCCGTCCCCAGACCTAGTACCCACCAACATCAAAGAGATATAAAGAGGGTATGAGGTTTGGTAGTAACAAAAAGCTATTAGTAACAAGTGCATCGCTAGTAGTAACAAGTGCCTTACTAGTAGTAACAAAAAGCTATTAGTAACAAGTGCATGGGTGAGATGAGTGAGGTTTGGTGCGTCACATGCCAATGTGTTGTTCCGCACCAGTCCCACGGAGTCCTATACGGACTGCCGTTGGACGTGTTGATGCTGAACGCTTCCAGGTGAGCCTTTGTCCCCGTGGCTACGGCCGAACTGCCTTTCACCTTTTCGAAATTTTGCAGCCACTCTACCTGCAGAGGGAAGTTTATCATTACCATGACACGGTGTCACGGTGTGAATTGTTTGCATGCTTCTTGTTGACAACTGTCTCGCGGGTATTTTGTTTGCTGATGCCAGCTCAGGCTGGGGCTGATTCCTGTGCACGTCGAGAGCTCAATGACTAGATTGTTATTGTGATTCTTTAGGACATTTTAGGATCTAAAATGATCTAAAAAGCACCGCCTCGATGAAACGCATCTGAGACAATCGCATCTTAGCCTCTTAGCTCGATTCACATCCGAGACAATCTCCGATTCCTGTCGTTCTAAGAGATTTCTCGAGGTGTATTTGGATATTCCCTGGGTGCCGTATGCAGGAGGGGAGATGCTGCTAGACTGCTGTCTTTTCGGGAGCTTGTGGAAGCCAACCAATAAGTGCTGAATCGAGAGCATGGCATTATTTTTGTGACAGTTTGTGCTTGCAGTTGAACTGTCCAGCGAGACCGTTGGTGGCATTTGATAGCAGATGGATGTTTGACGTTGCCAATAGATTGCTCCTCAGTGAAGCAACCTGCAAGTGGAGCATCGTGCATCCCCATACCGATGGCGAAGCTGCGAAGGTAAAACATGTTTTTTTTGGAGTCGAAGTGCAGATGCTGCCTGTGCAGATCTCTACAGCTCCATCGGCTTTAGCACAGACGTCCAGGGTTTGCCAGCTCTCATGAAGCAGATCAATGGTGTGGACGCTCAGATCGTCGCTGTACCGCTCAAGAATGGCACGAAGAGATGCTTGAATCCGAGGAGAAACGAATAGCACCAAAAAAATTAAAAAAGATAATTATTTGGAATGGTGTAGTTACAAAACGTGCTTAGATGCATGACAATCCTGGCTTCGTATTGAACTTTACTTGGCCTTAGAGTCGTAGAGCTTTACCACGCTTTGCGTGCCGTGTGATGTAATTGTGTGTCTTGGCTTTTGACTCAGATATGGATCCCAAAGATTTGGAACGCATGGAGGAGTGGCCTTGAAGTGTGTAAGACCTCATTCAATAGATTTGAAAGGAATTATTGCATATCACCTTAATCTTGCAAGCGATTTTGGGTGGGGTAGACTCTGCGTCTACCACTGCCAGGACAAGATCCGTTCACTGAGGCGCTTCAAGTCTGACCATTTTAATGTTTTCAGTGGTTTTTGTTCCTCATGCTCCACTTTTGGCCAAAGATCTGGTGAAAGTCTCGGTTGATTGGTTGATTGCTCCATAAGGCTTCACTTGAGGATAGAGTCTAGTGATTGGACCTGAGTCAGGTCCAGCCATTTTACAGATGAAGGCTTGCTTGACCAGATTTCGAACCTTGGCTGATCTAATTATATAATGTTTGCTAATCCTGAAAGCGAAGGCCAAGCAACGGTGCAATTGCTTCACCTTGGAGTTCTTTCGATCAGCTTCCGAGGCTTTTTATGAAGGGCGGAAGTGATTTGAGATGCCAGAAAGTGCCTGCAACGATGAACGGATGACTAAGGCCTTGAAACAAAATAGGTCCAAAGGGCTTGAGATGCCACGCGCCCAACGCTCGCACGATGGAAGACATGAACTATGTTTTGTTATTTTCTGGAGTGACCACTGTATGTGACATGTTCAGCACAGATTCCTGCCTCTACGTTTGCATCTCGTTTGTTTGAACACACAGTTCTGCTTTCCGAATGTACCGTTTTTGGCTCAAGGCCGAAAGACTCTTGCGGCCAAACACGCCAGTGATACACACGCGGGTTGTGACCCAGGAAACCCACTGCGTCAATCAGCCCGCTGTGGTCACCCAAACCACCTGAAGCTTCGCCAGGGCACGAAGAGAGCCCTGGCTTGACTTGTGTGCCAAAGCCAGCGTTTGCGATTGTTTGTGAAGTTGCAGACGTTGCTTTTTTGTCCAAAACGACTTATCCGCACTTTCACTCACCAATTGGACAGAAAAGTTGTTGTCGACGTTGGCTTGGCGCAAAAGTTACATCACCTTAGCCCAAATTCTTTGGACCTCATGGTTCCAATGCTACTCTTTGAGCCTTGGCCTGATTCCAGTCGATTCGATTCTGTTTCAATTTGACTGAGATGAAAGACCTGGACTTCAGCCTTCGTAATGGCATCCAACCAGCCATTATCTTCTCCCCAGCAAGTGCCAGACAGAATATTTCTGTTTGCCTGCCCCTCAAACAAATAGAGTGGGTTTGAACTCCCAGACGTGTTGATGACATGCATTATTGGAACCAATTCAAGGTCTTTGCGTTCCAGACTAGTACTGTAAGACTTTCTCGGTTCGGCTTTGGAGACCTGTCGGAGAATGTCCAATCAAATCTAATGAGATATAGTTATAGAGCCCTGCAGCTTTTTGACTCAGGACACGTTATTGGTTTCGGCCTCAGTGCAAGAACTGATGAGAACTGTAAACTCGTTGCAAAGCACACTTTGCCAGCACACAAAGTAGGGCAAAGTAACTACCAATGAGAAGGCTTGTCGGCTTGTGGCATGCACGCGCTGCAGATTCACCAGTGTTTGCCAAATCGCCTGTGCCCCCCCAATGCATTTTTGGAGGGAATACTCCAATGTTTTGTTTAGAACACGGTTATCACTGTTTCTTACTTGGCTTTGTTATTTACATTATATTGACGGATGTTGTGTTTGGCTCAGGTTGGCTTAGGCCGTGTCTTCCTGGCGGTTGCTCTGGCCGCCAGTTTGTTCGCAGGTCTGCGCTGCTTAGGCGAAACGGGCTGTCGTTGCATGGATCCTGGCGTCTGGTGCACCTTTGCCACGACGCCATTTTGCTGATCATGTCGCTGTATGGACAGCTCTGTGGAAGGGGAAGGATGGCCATAGTTACTAAAGTTGTTGCATACCTGTTGCCAAGGGATGTGGGTCCAGATCTCAAAGCGTGAATAGCAAGTTCAGGGATTAGAGCTGTTTGATACTTGTTTTGCGTTCCTGGTTTAGCCTCAAGGATAATGTTGGAAAGCTGTGCTTTGGTTTAGACAGATACAGAAAAGAGTGTGAGGTTTCGCTTGCCAGAGGCACATATGATGTCTATGGAGTGGAGACCAGATGAATGGCATTCTAAAGCAGCCATTGGCTTTGACGTCCAATCTTTTCTTTGGAGGCATTCAGCCGTCCACAGCGCATGGCACCGAGCCCAGCGTCTTCATTGAAGATATGAGGCCAGGATTGCTTGCAGTGACATCCTGCGGAGCGAAAAAGTAGGACGGCTTCAATAGGCAATCATCACGTATACTGAATACTGATACTATATAGTATAGTATAATATAGTCTATTCACATGACGCTTGATACTCCACCTGAAAGAGGCTTTCTCCAATTCAACAATCTTAAATACCGAAAGCAACTTTCTGTCCATGATTTAGACTTTCAATTGTCAATTTCGGAAGTGGTCATTGCAAGAAGCCTGCACTGTCAGGTTTTTGACATCTTTTGGCCTTGGCCTGAGTTTTATTCCAACAGTGTTGGTTGGGGCAAAGCTGGAGGGGAGAGCAGATGCCAGGGGGTCATTCTGGAAGTCTATTTGGATGTACTAGTACCACCGTTTACCCTTGGAGACGTCTATTGTTGCTTTGTTTACGTTGCTGAGGTCTGGGAGTGTTGATTAGTTGTGTAGCTGATCGGGGCAAGGCAGGGAGTTGCAAAAGGACTCTTATACTGAATCACCTGAAATCTTCTACTAGCAAGGACGCTACTAGTAGCTCCTGGCCTTACTACTAGGAGCAAGGCTGCTACTAGTAACAAAGGGCATCGCTACTAGTAACAAGGAGCTACTACTTGACACAGGGACTTATTCTACTCGTTTTCAATCTTGACTGCTTGTTTATGATATCCGTTAAATAATCCAGTACCTCAACCCCACGAAATAGTACAAACCATTTTCCGAAACACACGTACGTCCAGGACTTCATAACAGGGATGGGTTTTGATCCGGCATTCCCAAAGAGTACCTTGGTCCAGAACTTCAGAAAAGCTAGATAAATGATGATGTGACTTGACCATCATTTTTTTGGGCGTCGTACCTTGGGCCACTAAAAAAATAAGGACATGACCTCAGTCCCGAAGGATTTTATAAAATAAAGTCCTGAGTTCGACGTTTGGGGATTATTCAACGGGTATTTTATGGCACCCATACGCATATGTGCGTTGACTCCACAGGCACCGCAAAGCTTGTCACTGATCGGCTTCATGCTTTGAAGGCCTGAAGTTTTGCAAAAAGGTCGCTGCAAGATTCGGCCTGGTTGGTGATGATCACACCTGAGCCCCGCTACCTTTGTGAGGCATGGCGGGGTATCTGACAACAGTACATCGCACGCTGGTAGCTTGCTTGATCAATACCGAGAGGTGAGTTAAGTATAGTCATTGCAAGTCAGAATGCTACTTGACTTGTAACTAGTTTGCTTTTTGGACACTCCGAATTTCTGGGCGTAGTGTCTTGCTGATTGGCAGATCAATGTTTTGCAACCTTGTGCTGTGACGGTTTGCCATACTGAGGACTTGGCAATGGCTCTTCTCTGATTGATTCGAAGGATCATACAGCCCGGAAAAAGGGAGCCACGGGGTTTGCAGTGGTCGTGCTTGTGCCGTGTAACTCCATTGCAATTTGGTTTCGCAACTGTGCAGCAAATTGCAGACCGATCGCTGTGACCCAAGACGGGGAAATCTATGAAGTATTGATGGAAGGCTGGGCAGGTAGCATTGCCCGACCATCCTGAAGCGATGCAGCCCGTGTACGAGAGAACAGACGTTCCACTTGTTGAAGCTCATCACTCATGCGTCATGGAGCTGTACAACCAAGGGGCATACAGTCATCTTCACCCTCGAATGAACATGAGGTACAACGCACGGACTAAAATCGTTGTCATTGTAGGGCACAGTCAATTCCATTATTTCCATTTAAGTCCATGTCAATGTTGCTAGAATGCATCGACCTCCTCAGATCGGCCAACAGGCATTCAAGAACTAAGTCATTGGTGAAGTTCAATACACCTGGAGTCTGTACTCGGAGCTGCTTTACCTACCTCTTCTTTTGGGTCTTTGTTTGGACCTTGGAAGGCTAATCAGGGCTTCGGATGTTTGAAATCTGTTTAGCCTGTCCTAAGAAGTACCTTGGCATGATCAAGCTGGAGGCCCTTAGGTTTAGCCTTTCTATCTTCCGCGCTGGCCCTTTGTTGACCAATGTGCAGTACCTGCATTGAATCACATTGAATTGATCGTAAGACATCATTTCCTTATATAGGTTATCTCTCGTTTTCAGCCCGTTGACCATACATAAATATTTGCCGTGCTGAAAGCTTAGCCGTTTGCGGCTTTGCTTCTGTGCTAGCCAGCCAGTGCCGTTTCACTTCAATGGCCACTTTAATGTGAGCGCAAACACTGTGAAATGTCTATGAAGTGTCCCATCACCATCAACAGTCGGTAGAGGTTATCACTATTTTTGAGACAGGCCGTTCCTAACATAATGGGATATACCCAAGTCTATGGTATCAAAAGCATGGGGCAATGAAAGCGACCGAAGTGGCCATGGCGACAGTCACGTCGCCGAAAGCGACCGCCCCAAGAAAGTCGTGATGTCTGGGGGAATCTTGGGGCTTGCCGGGGCCAACCAAAGCTCACCCGAAGTGGAACGCTAGGTTTCTTGAGCCTGAGCTGCTTAAAACCGTTTGTGCGCCATCGCGAGTGGGGCATGAAGGTTGGCAGCAAGGTGGAGGCTCTGAGCTCTCAAAGCTTGCTGATCAGAGGCATCATTAGTTGTGATGAAGGCCACTTACTTTCTACTCGTACATCTTATTCCGAATCTTTTCCTGCTCTGATTTCTACCCATGATTGCTGGCGTCGATGTCAATGTCCTTAAACGTCAACCCAAGCTGCCGCCAATATCAATAAGCTGTTCCTTCCGTGTATCTCATATCATCAACCTCACACGGCATGGGAGAACTGAGGACTTTGGGTTGAATTACTTCGCTGAAGTTCCTTTGCGGTGTTTAATTGAGAATTTTTGAGATAGCTAGGTATACCCTCCAGCATCAGTTCTAAGAATGTGGAGAGTCTTTGCCAAGAGTCCTTGAATATTTTGAAGCCACACGTCAAGCTTCCAGAACAAGAACAAGTAGAGACAAGAGTGAATCTCCTGCAAGCTTTTAGTCCCAGGAGCTACACAATACCACCCATTACAAGTATTGCTGAGGTGGTTCAGAAGATCCCTTGAGTTGCACATTTGGTTGGCTAGAGGCTCTGAGAGTGTTGAGAGTGTGAGCCTCCAACTAGACAGCCCCGCGCACGAAGCTGATCTTGCGGCTCGTGGTGTCTCCTGCATTGAGCACTTGCACATACTTGCGCCATGTGTGTCTAATATTTAGTTGATAGTATATATAGATAGTGTCCAATTGTGCAACCTGCTGCGTGCTTGGCCCTTGCTACACCATGGGAGTCCGCAAGCCGCAGGAGCTTCGGACCATACAATGGTCCTTGATTAGAGG